CCGCCCCCAAGCCAGCCCTTGCCTGTGGCTGGGTTGCAGTGGACAGGGGTTGCTTCTTGCCAGCAACTCCTGCCCCTCTCCCCCCACATCTGTTAGAAGCAGCGGGGGAGGAAGGGCGGGGAAAGTGGCACTGCAGAGATGGTGCTGGAGAGAGCTGGCTTTTAAGTGATACAGCGGCAGCAAGGGGGCGTGGGGAATGCCCGCCCCCAAGCCAGCCCTTGCCTGTGGCTGGGTTGCAGTGGACAGGGGTTGCTTCTTGCCAGCAACTCCTGCCCCTCTCCCCCCACATCTGTTAGAAGCAGCGGGGGAGGAAGGGCGGGGAAAGTGGCACTGCAGAGATGGTGCTGGAGAGAGCTGGCTTTTAAGTGATACAGCGGCAGCAAGGGGGCGTGGGGAATGCAAGTAGTCGACTCGGCTACCTGATAAGCATAGACTTATTGGATAGTCCACTAGTCGACTACACCTTTACATCCCTACTTCAATCTAATAGACAGAAGTGTAGGACCCAAGGCTCGAAGTTAAAGCTAGACAAATTCATACTGGAAATAAAGTGAAAATGTAACAATGAGAGTAATTTATTATTGGAACAATTGATCAAGGGTTGGGTTGATTCTCAAATCAGCAATTTTAAAATCAAAAAAGGATGTTTTTCTAGAAGACATGTTCTAGTTCAAACAGGAATCATTTTAGGAAAGTACTTTGGCAGTGGTGGGCGATTAGCCCCAGCAGGCTGACACTGCTGCATAGTGAATGTCAGTGAAAATGGGTTGGTTCAAAAGTTAAAATAGGAAAAGAACAAAATACTTAGAAAAGTTAGATGTCTTCAAGTCACCAGGGACTGATGAAATGCCTCCTAGAATATTCAAGTATCTGAGTCATTAGCTATCACCTTTGAAAAGGCATGGAAGATGGAAGAGATTCCAGAAGATTAGAAAAGAGCAAATGTAGTATCCATCTATAAAAAGGGAAATAAGGACAACCCAGGAAACTACAGACCACTTTAACTTCTGTGCCACAAAAGATAATGGAGCAAACAATTAAGGAATCTATTTCCAAATATCTGGAAGATAATAAAGTGATAAGTAAGCATGTAAGCAGTAAGCATGGATTTGTCAAGAACAAATCATAACAAACCAATCTGATAGCTTTCTTTGATAGGATAACCAGCCTAGTGGATTGGGAGAATCAGGAGACGTGGTATTTCTAGATTTTAGTAAAACCTTTAATACAGCCTTGTATAAACCTCTTATCAATAAACTAGGAAAATAAAACGTAGATGGAGCTACTATAAGATGGCTGCATAACTGGCTGAATAACTATTCTCAGGGAATAGTTAACAATGGTTCACAGTCATGCTGGAAAGGAAAAATGAATGAGGTTCCGTAGGGATCACCTTTGGGTTTGGTTTTCATTCAATATCTTCATCAATTATTTAGATATTGGCATAGAAAGTACACTTATTAAATTTGCAGATAATACCAAGTTGGGAAGGGGTTGCAAGTGCTTTGGAGGATAGGGTCCAGAATGATCTGGACAAACTGGAGAACTGGTCTGAGATAAATAGGATGAAGTTCAATAAAGACAAATGCAAAGTGCTCCACGTAGGGAGGAATAATCAGTTTCACACATAGAAAATGGGAAGTGACTGTCGAGGAAGGAGTACTGCAGAAAGGGATCTAGGGGTCATAATGGACCACAAACTAAATATGAGTCAGCAGTGTGACACAGTTGCAAAAAAAGAAGTCATTCTGGGATGCATTACAGGATTGTTCTGAGCAAGACACGAGAAGAGGAAGTTACTCACCTTGTGCGGTAACAATGGTTCTTCGAGATGTGTGTCCCCGTGGGTGTTCCACCGTAGACAGGCACCTATAAACTCCAATGATTGCACAAGAGTCAGAGAAGATTTCTGGAGATTGATAATGAGATCTAGGGATTTGAAGATCACTTGTGTCGTATTTGTTGAGTCGAGCATTTTTGCAAAGGAGGGGCCCTTAATTAGGCAGTCATCAAGATATGGAAATATGATGAATCCCTTGCGTCATAAGTATGCTGCTGCCATGGCAAGTGATTTGGAAAAGACCCTTCATGCAGAAGACAAGCCAAAAGGTAGCACATAGTATTGGAAGTGGTCTATTGCTACCATAAATCTTAAGGAATGCCTATGAGCAGTGTGAATTGTAATGTGGAAGTAGGCTTGTAATGGAGAGGAGGACTGCTGACTAGGGGTTAAAATCAGGTAGCTAGCAAAGGTGTTGGCCGAAGGTGTGTGTTTTTTTAAACTAACTGTAGAATGAACAAATGAGAAGTTTAACTAATAACTATGACTAGCAGCGGCAGATTTAGGGTAGGGCGAGCGGGGCAGCTGCCTCAGGCCCCGCGCTTCCCGAGGCCCTGCGCATGCACCATGGCACCACGGTGCATGCGCCATGTCAAAGGGCGGGGCCTGCAAAATTTCGCTGCCCGGGGCCCCGCGGCACTCTCATCCACCCCTGATGACTAGTAACTTATTAACTAACTGGAACTCAATTTCTTATATGACACAATCAGAGGAGAGAGGAGCTTGCTCCGTCTGTGAAAGAAGGTGGCAACGAAAGAACTGGCGGGAGCCAGACTGCATGCACAAAAAGAAAGCAGGAACAGCACGAGGCCCCTGATGTGCATGTGTGGTCCAGCCGACTACTGCTAGGGGAAATTCTCATCTGCGGCACCAGGACAACCCGATACCAACTGTGGAACACCCATGGGGCCGGGGCAGCCTGTGCATATAGGCCTACTCGGCCGTCGCCTAGGGCGCTGTGTTAAATGGGGTGCCCAATGATTATATCATGCCATTGAGGGCTGTGGAGGTGGGGGCGCCGATTGTGCACTCTGCCTGGGGCACCAGCTGCCGGCAGCCCGCCTCAGGCCACCCCTGCATGGGCATCACCTGAAAAAGAAGTAATTCTTCTGTTCTACTCTGCACTGGTAAGGCCTCAAATGGAGTATTGTGTCCAGTTCTGTGCACACAATTTAGGAAAGATGTGGAGAAATTAGAGAAGGTACAGAGAAGAGCCACAATAATGATTAAAAGTCTAGAAAACATGACCGATGAGGGAAGGCTGAAATAGGGATGTAATAGTATAGTCGATTAACTGATTAGCAAAAGCCTATAGGTTAATGCTATAGACTACACACATTTCCCCTCCACCCCTTGACAGCAAATTTTTTAGCAGTCTGGCCAGCAGGCCAGCTCAGTTTGGCTTGCACTGGGTCCTGGACCTACCCCTGCTGTGGCTGTGCACTGAAAGTGTATTAGGAACCAGGCAGGCAGGCAGCCCAGCTCAATTCCAGCTTGTGCTGGGTCCAGGTTTAATTAGTTTAGAGCTGGTAACAATGTTAAATGGATAACATAGAAGATTGGCATCCTAAGCATCTGCATTGACTGAATAAGTACAGCACAGGTAGTAGCAATACAAGCATCTCACTATTGCCCTATGGTGTGCCTCACTTATGCATCTGAGGAACTACACTGTTTAAAGCAGAACTGTTCTGTCTTTAGTGGATAGTTCAGTCCCTGTGTCCATTAAATACATTATTTTTCCACTTAGCCAATTGCAAACAATGTGTTCTGTGATATGGTGGTTCTCTCTGGCAGTTGCACACACTCATGCATCGTACCACTGCATAATCTAAGTTCTTCAGGAAGCAAGTAGATTATATGATTTTTTCTAATTTTAAAGAACAATTTAAAAAAAACTACTCAATTTAAAAAAAAGGAGTAAGTGGCACTTAATGAATGTTAACAGCATCTTTAGTCATAGTTTCATTGTAAAAGACCAACAACTGAAAGAGCATGATGACTCATCGAGACAGAGCCACATAGGCAGGAGAGTAGGGGAAACACAAGTTATATGGCTAAATACAAGATTTCAGTTACCGGAATTGACAAGAAAGCCCCTTTCACAAACACAAAATTCATATGAAAGGAATAAACAAAAACAATCAAAAAACCCCGCTTGGCCTCCAAGACATTATAAAAATCCAGTTCTTCATGAGTCAGTTGTTACATTGATCAAAAAACATTTTTGTAACAGTATGGAATGTAAATTGTCTGTTTATAGCATAGAAAGATAGATTAATTAGACTTGTTGCCTTACAAAAATAGTAAGATTTTAAATTAATGAATAAAATGTTTGGATAATTGACATTTTCTAACAAAGCTGGAAAGATGTGATTGGAGAATATTTTAAATACTGTATTTAAATATCTTCATGACATTCTCATCTGCAACTATAAAGAGTTCAAAACCACTGAGCACC